GCCAAAAGATAGCCATCACTACAAAAAGAAGAAAAATATCAACAACTATACACACAAAATTATCTACTTCTCTTTGCCTATGTCAGACAAAACAGAAAATTCATTGAATCTATTTTGTTTTGATTGATGTGGGAAGAAAAAAAAGGTGATTTATTGGTAAAGCTTTGAGACACCACGACATTATTACATGACCACAGAAAAATAAAAGTAGAATGTTTATATGTCTTAAATTTAAATTTAGGTCGCAACTCTCATTCATCACTTATTTAATTTTGATAATTCTATCAACTCCCGAGTGGTTTTTATAATAAGTAGTACTAAAAGTGAGATTCGTAATTTAATTACGTCCATATATATTAGGAAAAAGAAGTGATTTAATTATGGCCATGTTTTTTTTTTTAATTTTAAAAAAAGCTCGATCAAGTATAGATATGGTTGAAAGTTCAACTTTATTTTAAATAGTTTTAAAGAATGATTACAAGTAAATGGAAATAAGGAAGGTAGACGTAATATTGTAAAACACAATGAATGCGAGTGTTATAGAGCGAAACCTAAAGGGAGGTCTCTGAAATTATGCCTTAAAAATAATATTTGCAAGTTGATATTATGTTTGGCCGTCTATTTTACTTAAAAAAGATAGATCTTAAAGTTTAGTGACTGAAAAAAATAAGAAAAAAATTGATTTTTTTTTACCATACTTGATAAACTCTATCTTCAAAAACTAAACTAAATAATCGATACAATGTATAATGATTTTGAACCTTGAAGAAAGAAAGAAAAGAGATATATAGTGCAATGTGGTATAATGATTTAAATAAATTTTGGCTAAAATTTTCATGTGCAAATGATGTGGAAAAGTTTTATGAACATGTAGGGTATAATTTGCTTTTATTCTCTACAATGATTATATTAGTGTGAGGGGTGCCCCGTTAGCACATGCAAATACCAAAAATGATAAAAAGGAAAGGTGTGTGTGTGAAGAAGAGATCAAAAGAACATGTGCTTCTTTTGTTTTTCTATCAATTGATGCCTTTGGACTCATTCATAATCTTCTTCTTCAAATAATGTGGACATCTTTCATCCACATCATTAATGAAGTGGATTGTGTAGGCATAGTATAGTGAAGGGGTTGAATGTATGGTGAAATTGGAACCTTGGATTGTTCTTAATGGAGTTGGACTATTGGAGCTAATAACTTCAAATAGAGGAGAGACAAGTTTCTTGGTTGATAATCTTTTAAGGTTATAAGTGGATAGGTTACGTAAATTTTATTAGTTTAGGAGATAGTTATTTAGATATATTTTTAGTTTGTAACTTTATAAATTTTACCATTTTTTAATGTGTTCAGATACGCTGAATCACGTCTAGATAAATGTATACATGAGATCAAAATGTTGTGTAATTTTTTATAGATACACTGTATCCAAGTGAATTCCCATGTATCTAGAATACATAACAAATTTCGTTTGCTTCTCCCCTATCTCGCTCGTCACTTTCCTATGAAATTGATATCTCTCACTACAAGAAAAATGTGAATTACATGAGGATTTTCCTAGAAATCACTATAAAAATTTGCAGAAAAATAAATTTCCTACGAATTTTCATACTAATCTCCAAGAAAATCCCCATGTAATTTTACAATTTTCTTAATAGTATCTTATACATGTAAATCATACTAGATACATATTCTTTCTAGAGTCTATTTAGTATAATTCACATGTATTTGCGATACATAACAAATCTCGCTCGCCTCTTTCCTTATTTTAGTGTATCGGATGACAAACATATATGCATCAAAACATATCTTCTTCAAAAGTTCACATAATACAGAAAAATATGTGCCATATAGAGAGGGGGGGACACACATATTCTACTTTTTATCTAAATGTTGGAGTGGCATTCACATTCTCATTCCATTTATGACAATTACATTACGTATGAAATATTACAACTTTTGGAGTTTCCACTATTTTGATATATTCTATAGAATTATTCATGAATGATGAAATTGAATGTTTATAGTTACTCTACAAAGTTAGTTGAAAAACAAGGTGCAGCACGCCGTTTTATATTTGCATTTATGTACCAAAAAACAGTAGTCAGTTTGTAACCATTAATTATGCATGCTATAAATAAAAGTAACTCTTATTTAGCAATTCTTCCTCAACAATTTTAAGCAATAATTTATATAGTGTTAAAATTATAAAGATTCACATTTATTATTGCTTCTAGATATAATGCAAGAGACAATTATATATTATTGCCGTACCATTCTTATGTGACATTTGGATATGGTCTCAATTTCTGCTTTAAAGCCTTCTTCATTAACTTTTCTATAGGGTCTTTAATTTAAATATAACATATAATGATCTCTATAAGATAGTTTTAGGAAATTAATTAAATTTCTGTTTTCTTGAAAATTCATAGAAGTGCATGTATCTTACAAGTTACAACTAATAATAGCATACATCCTTTTAAATATTTATTTGTGTAGATATATGCCAAAAGGGATATTTTTTTTTTAAAAAAAGAAGGGATAATGTAAAATACAAAAACCGGACAAAGCCAATTTATTAGGAGTGACATGCCAGAATGTTTTGCCTCTTTTAGTCAGACATGCTTCAATGTCATTAAACTTGGTAATTATAAATTTCCAATTGTGATCAACAGCTATCAACATACTTTTAGATTATCCATAATTAATTTAATCTTTAATTTTATCCTTTAACTATCAATTTATATCCAGCAAGACATAAGTTTCTTCAAATCTAAGACATAACTTGTAAAATCCATAATAACTTACCTAAAAACACCTTTAAGCGAATAATACTATGATTCAACTGTTCTGCGTATCTATACTTTTCTTGCATTTGATGAATTTGGCTAAACAACTCCCACATGCTATCTGCTAATTAAAATTATGCTAAGATTCTTACTTATCCATAACCTTGACCTTTTCGTGCATTTGAAGTCCTTCTAATTAATTAGTGTTTCTTTCATTTGACGAATACTTGTTGTTTGAAAACAAAGTTTAATTTCAAATTAGACAAACAATTTATATATAACTATATCCTCAAGAGAATGTTCATGCATATATGCATCAAAATTAGTTAGTGGAATAAACGCATTATTAGCTGTCCTCTTTTGATTAAGAGGACTCCTAATATTATATGATAAATTAAACACTAACCAAAGGTCTTTAGAACAAATAGAGGTAGTGGCAACAATCATCATCTGACCATTACAAGACCAAGTGCACACGAGTGACTCTCTCTCTCCTTTATCCTTTGCTTATCAAGCAATTAATGATTTATGATTAAGACATCTATTAAAGTACTAAACAGTGTATCAATTTCTTTTTAATATCTTGAATTGAATGTGAAGCACAAACGTGATGTGTCATTCTATATACATTCATTTATTATCAAGTAATCATGATTAAGTAATACGTATTCTCACGATGAATCCATTACCTAGCCGGAATCTGTAAGCTAGTTGGGGATGTTTTTGGCTTCACATCAAAAGCAAGTGTGATCATGGCAGGGGCAAAATCTGGATTTACCTCTTGAAATGGTACTTCAAAGGTCAATGGCTGGTACAAGCAAACCTCATCTTCTTTGCAATAGTATACCTGAAATTGGAAGTGACAATAGTACTCATTGAAAATGTAACAACACTAAGATGGACCATTATAAACTAGGAAAGTGAAAGCATTCTCATCAGGCTAAAGGTAGGTATACAAACACTACACGAGATGCTACTAACACATTGAAATGAGTATCTGAAATTGGAAGTGGCTATAGTACTCATTGAAAATGTAACTCTAAGATGGACCATTACAGACTAGGAAAGTGATAGCATCGGGCTAAAGGTAGGTACAAACACTAAATGAGATGCTACTAACACACTGCTGGTCTAACGTGGTGAATTTGCGCCCAGGTACACGGCCTTCAAATAAGTTTGTGTGCCTCTCAAGTTAATTTTTGTAAGTACGTCCTTAGGGAACAAATCTATATTATCAATTCTGGCATTAGCACATATTGCTTTGGTAGACTGAAGATATCACATAGCACATGAGCCATGGCATTATATGCTTATAAGGAGAGCATATTGTCAATTTCATGAAGCAAGGTACAAACGTTACATGAGATGCTACTAACAAATGGCTACTTGAAAGCATATATATATCAAGTCAAAATCATTTCCAAAGCACTGATGCTTTATTTTGCTCAAAATATTGCCTGGCATAGTCTTCTTTAATAAATGGCTGAATATAGATACGCATGGCTAAGGAGGTAAATGCAGGCCACAAACTTCACTAAACTACAGTAAAACTTAAAAGATATATTCAAACAGATAATCATACCTTGCAATAAACTCTGCCGGTGGTTGGTGAAGCAGAAGATCTTCTGAAGTGCACAACTGCTGAACCTTCTGGGCTGAGATTTCCCTCCAAGGAATCAACCTCAGCAGCATTATCTGGCTCAAAATCTATGCTAAATTTACTCTTCGCTTCCTGCATTTGGTATAAGGCAGAAAAGCCTATGAGGCAAAATAAACAGGGACATACTGAGGTGGTAAATTCAAAGGGAAGGAAATGCTGTTCCTATTTTCTTAATCAATTTGTTCAGAAGAGAGAAAGAAAACCTTGGAGAAATGGTATCCTTCAGGTACCGAGATTCTTAAGTTCAATGTACCCTCACTGGATGAACCACCATTAACTACAATAGTCTGTGTGTCAGCTCCAGATCGACGTCTAAGGCGCTTCAAAGATCTGGATTTAAGTGGAGGCTGCACTCCTTTCAACTCCAAAGTAAGAACTTCAGCTTCTGACTTGTTCAGATCTAAGTATCTTATCACACTGTTATTTGTATCTGCTATGTACAATCTTCCTAAAAAGGTTGTATAAAATAGCATCAAATACAAGTATCAGCTGTTACATTTTTTAACATGAACACAGAGATACAAACAAAGGTACGATCTAACTCAACACTTAAGACTTGGATCTCAAATTCTGGAATAACATTGCCATTGCAGGGAACATCTTCTTGGTTTTTTTTTTTTGATAAGATAAGTGGTATTAATTACAGCATCCAGAAGATGCAAGATTTACAAGATATGACGTTTGAGCTTACAAAAAAAATCTCCAGTTTCCTGGTTTAACTTGTCAATGAGACATTGCAAAAAGTATTAATGAATCTCTGGTGTATATCATCCCGTCTTCTCCCAAATTCTTCTTTTTGATTTGCCTTCAATCATCACCAAATTGCTCACTCATGCAAGAAGTAAACATAACAATGGCCTTGTTCGCCACCAATATTTTTTAGTACATAACTGGTGCCATGCTCCATCAAGACACATGATACACCTTAGGCGCAGCTTTTAATGCACCAAAATCCCAATTATTCCCTCTCCCCCAGGACAATTGTGAAAGAACAAAGAAAAATGAGGTTGTTATATTAGGTCTTAGGCCTAACTCACACTCCAAAAGCTAGCTCAAAGGAAGGATTGCACAAGCCTTATAAGGAGTCCACCCATCTCATCACCGATGTGGGACTTTTGTCATTCTTTAACACCCCACCTCACGCGCAGTGCTTAGCATCTGATGCGTGGCAATTTTGATTTTGGGGGCCCAACATCAGGTGAGATGGGCCCTGCTCTGATATCATGTCAACTTAGGTAACTTCAGATATAGGAGCAGATTAGTTGAGAAGTGTTTATGCAGGAATGACCCATGAACACTTCACCCGTGTTTATGCAGGACTGAGTGTTGTCCTAATTTGATTTCTTTTAAAAGAACTACTAATCCACATGAAAATAGACCTTAAACTTAATTCTTTAGCAGGAACATCTACTTGGTCAATACAAACTACTGCGATGCATAACCAGCACTCCTACTATTCTTGCTAGTGCAGCTTACGATGAGTATACAAAAATTAAGCGTGATAGAGCTCCTGCAATAATTTGTGAGGATTGCAGAGTTTAGACCACCAATTTCATTGTGATTATTTATGTCTCTTATTCCTGCAAAGTTTTATGGTCCACTCTCAGAGTGAGCAATCAGCCAAGTGAAATTGTGCACAAAGAAGAAGAGATTACCATTTTCTGCTTCAACAATTCCAGATGGTTCTGAGAACTGCACGAAAATAAAAACAAGAGAAAGAAGAGAATCACCAAAATTGAAAGTCAGAGATCCCAGTAGTAAAAGCAATTTCTCTTAAGAATGGAAGATTCAAGAATCAAGAAGAAAATTATACTTCGCACATGTAAATTGAAGGTTCAAAAGGAAAAAACAGTAAGACTCCTTTTTCTTTTTCTCCTTTAATAAGGTAAAATTTTGTTCCTGGTTGGTGGAAAGGATCTTTCCATATAAAAGTAACAATAGTTTTGTGCAGATTGGGTGCTCTTTGTAGAAAGCAATGCTCTTTTAGCCAGTATCTTATTGCATACAATCTAGGACTTATTTCCCAAATGGGGGTGCCTTCTCCCTCTTTGTTCAACACAACCTTTGCATTAACCCCCAACCACAACAACACAAAATAATGCACCAATTTCAAGTGGAGAGAGAAAATAGCAGTAATTGTAGTCCGACTTTTTTAAAAAAGTAGCAATTTTTTACTTTCGTAATATTACATTCATAAGTAGCTAAAAGAAATTTGATTTATAGTAAAAGATTCAAACAGAATTTTCGAAACAATATTTTAAAATCAGGAATCTGACATCCATTTCTCCCATACCATTACAAGCAGCTTTTATTGATTGTTACACCACTTTTGTTTTGAAGAAACTGCGCAGCCTTCCTAAATATACAAATCTAATACAGATCAAGTTCATACTTATCTTTGTACAGAACGTTCCAAAGTTTTTCCTAGCATCTACAAGCTTAAATAAAAGGTTAAAACAATTTCCGAAGACGAAAAATCTTTGATATATTTATCCATGCTGGATTTACCCAAGGGTACACTCATATGCCTCAATAAAGTGTTTCAATCATATCCTTGGCAACTTGCTTCTGTTCCTTATTTTCCTTTCTCCTTTACACATTGGGTGCAGGATCCACTTGAAATAAAGAAAAAGGAAAAAAAAGAAGAGAAATACCAAACATTTGTTGCCAAAGACAATCACCTCACATGCTACTGCTGATTGATGATGAAATTTACGTAGAAAATGTTTGGTATGCTGCACGTGTATAAGGGCTTATAACTAAATAGGTTGTTTACAGATGCAGCCACATATTTTAGAAAATGCTATGCAGGATTCAAATTATTCATGTGTCAGCAGCTTATTATGTCCATCAAGTTGGAGAAATAATATGGTCTAGGTACTCATTTCCATGCTAATGCTATTAAGTGTAACATCCATGTGGACATAAAATATGACTGGGAGCAATGAATGTCAGAATGTAACACTAATGTCCAAAATATGATACAAGAAAAGATATATGAACTCTTTCCAACCTGAGCTGCCACCGCTGCTCCATCTTTGAAACCAGCCTGACCAACACCAGCTAATGTAGTCACCCTTTTACTATCTGGATCTAGTTTCTTAATCTGGCAAGTTAAACAAAAGAGGAAAGTTTTTACTTACCTGAGATGTTTCTGTGACGGTACCAAAACAAGTAGTTCATTATTGAAATATAAGTTACATTAAATAGTCCTTTTAAGCTTGAAATCGTAACAAGCATCATATGAAACATCGCTTTTCAAGCTCACTAGTTGATTTTGAAAGGAGAAGCAGGGAAGGCCACAAACTTCATAAACCTAATACTTCACTATTATTCTACGTACGAGCAACTGTTTCTTATCTGGAATAAGGCACCACAATTTCAGCAGATAAAATTTTTGTCTTAATAAATTAGATGATTTGTCAAAATTCTTCCAAAGTGCCAATTTCTAGTTAAGCAGACTAAGCCAATTTCTGGTTAAGCAGACTAATCTTTATTAGCTTTGATATCTCAATCATAACATTATTGACAAATTGTCGCCTTGATATTAATTGTAAGATGACATGCTATTAACCCTCCTATCAACCTTCACCACATGGTTTCAATCTTCCCAAAGGCCCTTCTCACTTTTATCTTCTCCTCCTTCACTTTTCATAAACCCACCAAATCACAAAAAGATTTTTAAACACAAAGGTGTAAGTTATAAACGAAAATCTTCTATCAAGTTCAAATAACTAGAGATAATTTATGACCATCCAGATAATGTTTGAAAAAGAAAACCAAATGTGTTGTACCAAAATAAAAAGTTCTTATGGAGGTAGAGAGAGTGAATGATGAAACAAAGCTATAGGGAGACTGCAGATGACTAATATGTTTTAAAAATCACAAATTTGTACATTCATGGCTCACATACAAAAAAAAAAAAAAAAAGAACTTAAGATAGGAGTTAGGCAATCAAAGCAAATAGCATCAGGTTAACTGCATACATTTAGTATTTCTTCCATTGGAGGTCTGTCTTCTCAAAGCATATCTGTTTGGTCTTTTCCACTTGAATAATATGTTGATAATAGTAGAAGCACATATTACAGTGATTGAGAAGTTAAGTTTGACAAATGAACATCACATCATAGTTCAAACTAAATTAATTATAATATGTGGAGAAGTGTGTTAAAGATTATCATAAGATGTCATAAAATTGTGTCACATATGGAGCAAATGTTAACTGTTAAAAAATTAGTCTGCAAGTACCTTGTGATTATAAGAATCTGCAATATAAACTTGACCATCCTTTCCACATAAAACACCTAATGGATGTTGAAGAAGTACTTCAGAGCCTATTCCATCATGGTCACCGAACTGCACAAAAAATGTTCCTTTAACAAATTTATTTCTGTCACAAATGTGACTAAAATATACTAGAGAAATGCAAATCTGGTTTCTTTGGCTTCAAACAAAATTACCCTAAACAAGTTTTCTGCAATAACTGGATCACCACCAGCCAGTGATCTTGAACCTCCTGTTCTTAGATTAACTGCCCGAATGGAGCTACTCTCACTGTCAGCAATATATGCCTCCTTAAGATCTACAAAAAAACAAGTAAATGGGTAATTAAATGCTGGCAACTTGAAAGGTCTTGGCAAGGTGAAGAGGAAAACTTCAAATATATGGTGGACTAATTTGGAAAGAAAAGAATGCCAGAGTTTTTGAGAGAGAATCTGAATCTGTAATTAGTATCAAATACTTATATCTTCTTCTTTTTTTTTGGTGCAATCTGGCTATTGCAACTGACATAGATGCCATGATTCACTTCATGAGCTCATTACATAATTTGTAATGTAGCCTCCTTTTGTACTTATTTTACAGCATTCTCTTATTGCTAAATTAATTTTTTGATCAGCATACAGATATAATATACTGAGCTCTAACAATCAAAAAGAAAAATAAAAAGTAAAACAAATTGTATCAAAAGAAAAGGTAAAAACTATAGACCAGTTCAAAAGAACAATTTATGTCTTGTTAAGAGATTACCTCGTGACAAGGAAATCCCAGAAGGTTGTGCAAATGACGTGCTTGTAGAGCTTTCCCATGGCCAAGAAGAAGATGATCCGTAAACATCAGCAAGTTCGTCAAAAGTAAGTGGCTAAAAGGATATGTTCTCACAACCAACACATACAAGGACAAGAGATACAATGAAAGAAGTCAAAACCCAAAAACTAAAAGCACAAAGCCGGTTTCTCCTCTCCAAATTACATTAGTTTAATCCCTGTTGTCTTTTGACTGAAGCTCCTGCTGATTCATGGAGATCCATTATTTTCACCAAGTGTTACTAGGAAGTAATAGTAACCATATCCAGAGCACATTATCAAGATTCATGACCAAAAGGGATATCTATTCCTTTGAGTGTGGGTTAGCTTTTGTACTCTTCATGTTCCAATGAATTATGTTAGATGATAATGTTAGAAGTCCACAGAACATGGGTTCCAAATTCATAATGGAACCTTCAGAAGAAAATTGATCTTACCATGCCAAAAGAGTGCAGTCTATAAAAACTCTTACTGTTATCACTAATAAATATGAGAGATCTTTTAGAACACGGGCAAGTCAAAAGAAGAGACATATCTATGCAGTCCTAAAATATGACTACGCTGATAGATTTATAGAGCAAGTGTAAAGCAGTGAATCAAAAAAGTGTGAACTGCAGTTTGTTTCTGTCTTTGTTTATCAGTGAAAGATCTGGTCCTCAGTTGGTTCTCCCTCGCGCTAGATTAACACATGGATCTTTTTTCTAATAAAAAGGGGGAAACCCTTTTCTTCAAAAAGGCTTGGAAACTAGTTTAGAAGTAAAAAGCACCACAAAAGAAAGTGTGACAAACAGATGATGATAGTGAGCATCATAGCATTTAAGAATTAATCAATAAACTACACTTCAATCTCATATAAAAAACTAGCACAATTAACCAGTGTTCTGCTGAAACTCTAGTTAAGCTAACACACACACATTACCTTGAGCCATTCAAATTTCTCTCATAACCATTCCCACTGAAAGCTCTTGTAACTCCATCCAATGTTTTGTGTTCCCAGATCTGATGCTGACCAGCCATTGCGATGTAGACAATTTCATTCTCAGGTTCAAAGCAGACATCCCATGGAGAGTTGAGAAGCTGAAAATATGACCAATGATGTTCAGTTCCAAGGAAAAAAGGATAATTCACAATATATTTGAAATTGATTAAAGAGAGATAAAATTAGAGCATAAAACTACATATGCGATAAGCTAGAGCTAACTGGAACCAGTTGATGACCAAGTTATTATTTAATTTAATCCAATCTTGCCTGTGCAGTTCCAGTTCCTCCCCCTTCATAATCAGAACCTTTTGTTCCATTTCCCGCAAGCGTCCGCACTGTCTCATTCACAAAGTCAATGACCCTACAGTAATGGAACTCAATAGGTTAAACTAAAAGCTTCCTTAAATTATCTAGGTAAAGAAAAATTATAATCTCATAAAAAAGCTATAAGCACATCAAGCCCAACTAAAAAGGAAATTGAAGTAAAAACTTCCATCTCTCAAAATACAAATATAAATAAGAAGTTAAAAAAGTTTTTGAATGAATTTCAAATGGGAACAAGGATGATTTAGGAAGAGGGGATATTTTGGCTGTCAGGTTAATCTTTTAGACTACAGAATGATAATGAGTATCCAAATTGACAGCATAGAGGAAAGGAAAGGAATATGTATGTATACCAGAGTGAATTGAGGAAACTTATCAGTGTAATTTGGCATCATATCATCCGGTGGATGAGATACTAATTTGAAGAGTCGGATTTGGTCCTTAAAGACTACTTTACCTCCAAATCTAATGATAAAGGCAAACATTTTCCTTAGTATTCCCTCATCCTCAATCCAATCCATTTTCTCCTGCTCCTTCTCCTTCCTTGACTTATCCGCATCCTTACTCCACTAATATTTCCAACATATTCTTCATCAGCAAAAAGATCAAGACCATTATCTCACCGTGGCCTGATGGCGATCCCTGTCAACTCCAACCAAACAAGCTAACCCAGCCTACCAGCTCCCTCGCCCAAGCTCAAGAAATCTCTCTTTTTCCCCTTGCATCCACCCTATGGTGAGTAGTTCTACTCCTGTTTCCCACCAGTTGTGGAACATGTCTTATTCATCATTTTCTTTTTCTTAATTTCAGTTGCTTTTTATTCTGTGGTTATGTTCTAATATCTTCTGGTTCTTTGTTTCCAGAACATTCTTTTCAACAAGCTTTTTAAGTATCTTCGTTTCCACTAGTTTTTCTTACTGTTTTGACAGTACGAACTAACTTGAGGAAAAAATAGAACAACTATTAAAGTTCTCCTGTTAATAAAACTAAATTTCCCAAATCTTTTTGCCAGGAAAGGATATGAAGACCTGTCAAAAAAAGTCATGTCGTCAAAAAAAGTCAAATGTAATCAATTATTCATGGTTTAGTTTGACCTTGTCGAAAAATCAACCAGTTCTGGAAACGCCGTATATGAAGATTCCTAAAGTGAACTTCAAACCTAATGAAGCAATTATTATCCACATATGTGGTCTCTCTTTTCTGTCAGCTACCAATAGATTGGTCAAAACCAAACTAAAAATTAAATGAAAAGGAGCACCTAATTAAAAAGTACAGAATAAAAATTATAGGGGTGGTTATCAACAATGTAAAGTTACAAGCTTTGAAATATTTAGATTCTGCCTTTGTAATCTTGAGTTGAGGAATACCAATTCCAACTAAAAAAATGGCATCAAAGTTTAAATGAATTTAAAAGAAAAAAATTTAGGCCATTATATTCAAACAATGAGTAGCTTTCAACAACTACTTTACCATCTTGTATCCTATTGCGACTAATAAAATATGCAGCTCAAGTTTACTAAAGATCTCCATGTTTCATCAAACTACTTAATGTAAACTGAGGAGATACCCACTATAGCACAAAATATTCCAATTTCTAGGAAGAAAGATAAAATAAATAATATACCCTTGGTGAATCCATGTGTTCCCTTCCCCCCGGCAATAATCAGTATCAATAAACCCATCAAAGTTCAAGTTTATCCTCCTCAACTTCTCAAAGATGGGGGCACAAGCATCTATACTTCAAGGAAAATACGTGTATAAACGGAGAATTCAGAAAATAAACCATGTATGTCTAGCCCAATAACAGGCATTCCCTTTCTGCCTGTACCTTAAAGCATGATTTTCAGTATCTGCCACATACAAGAGGTTCTTCTTTGCATTGTAAGCCAAACCCTGAAGATATAATAAGAATTAAGATCTTAGATTAATTTTGCAAATGGAAAAAATTGAAAAATTAAAAGAGTTACCTGCGGACGATTGAATGTTGCATCATCAAAGTTACCGTCATGAAGACCCTCTGCTCCTGTGCTTCCAACTTGGACTAAAAAGTTCCCTTCTAGATCAGTTACTACCTGTCCATGTGAAAATTGTCCGGGATTACTAATTCTACCATTCACCTCATAAAGAGAGCATGGAAATAGAAAGAAGACTAAGATCTAGGGCTCGTACAGGCCAAAAGCATGAAGGACCAGAACAGATGTGATACTACAACTCCGAGTTACTGAGATAGTGTATGGAAAAGAAAACAGTATCAGACGAGAAAACATGGCCGTGTTCTTGAGACTAGGAAATGTAAGAAGGAACTAAATAACAGAATGAATAAGTTCAGAAGAGAGCAAAGAAGAACCAGAATGTATCTAGAAGAAAACATAATTTCCTACACAACTTGTGAGTCTCCCACAAAGAAGAAGGAACCAGTTCCGTAAGAGTCGAGTAAAAGAAACAAAATGTACATTTCTTATCCTCTTCCTTATTCGCGCCCTACCTTATCCTCTTCCGCATTTTTTCCATCTTCCTCGTGAATTTTGGTTCTACCATATTCGCCAGCCCTAGCAGTGGCTTCAAATATTAATTCTTTGTTCTAATTTAAATATACCACTCACCGATCTCCATTAGCAGGAAAAACTTTTAAGCATATACTCTTTATTTCATCTCCAAGTTACCATTACTGTACACTGCATTAGAATATGAATGATCATGCTCTGACACTAAAGTGATATTATCCCTTGCCTTCTGATAAAATGTAAAAAGATTAATCTTATCTTCTGCATAGCCCTAGACTTTTCATCATACATTCTGTTTCTGTAGCTTCCTCTTGCAAATATTAGAAAATGAATGATCATGCTTTGACACTTAACTTTTTTCAGATATCAGTAAATGTGGACATGGAAGTTCTGCAACCCCAGTGTCGGGAATACATTTACTTTCAGAGGTAGGTATACCTCCATTTATTGATAACTAATATGCAATTAACATCAAACTTGATCTTCTTCAATAATCCCATGGTCAATTCATAACTCCAGAAAGCCTCAAAAAGGGTTAACAAACCTTGATGCTACAGACACCAACTACTTGCAGTTCATACATTCAAAATTTTGCAACCTGAATACCTGATACAACAATCATTCAGAGAGAATACAGAAAGGAGAGAGAAGAAGAACTTACTATTCGGTTATGATTGCTGTCTGATATAAATAGCCGGTTGTTGAGGACATCAACTGCCAGCTTACCGGGGAACTTTAAAGGAGACGTTAACAAGCGGGGATCATTATCTTTCTCCAAGCGCAAGGGAATGGGTTTGCTATCCAAGAGCTTCTTCTTACCATAGAACAGAAGAGCAGCCTCGACTAAATTATCAAGATCCTACAAACCAAAGCAGAAGACATCGAAATGACAGCTAAATCTTGTCAATAATCTTCACTTCCAACTGCCACAGATCATATTAATTAGAAAGAAATATGTGAGAGGCAATTTGCTATAATCTAAAAGCACAAGAAACTGAATGTTACAAATTATCTCATTTGAAGGAATTTCATGCCATAAGATAAGACAAATGGAGAAACTCCAATAAGTAGCTGCCTAAAGAAATTCTTTTATGAAGTCGGATTAGGCAATAGCAGGCGCTTAGACGTTTCTATAGTATTTTCTTCGAAATAGAAAAGAGATAAAGAGAATAAAAACAAAAACACAAAATAGTGTTTCATAATAAAGGAAAGGTGACCTAGTTTTCACAACTAGGGAGGGTAAAGTATACACAGACCTTACCACTACCGTCAGAGGTAGAGAGGTTGTTTCCGATTAAAGGTGACCTAGTTTTTAGTTTCCTAAAATGTCAAAACTTTCCTAGCCTGGGTTACACAAAACTAATAATAGAAAACATATTTTCAAAATTCAGATGATAGAGAAATGCCACATTGAGGTCAGAGATAAGGGTCTGTCAGCTACCAAAAAGAACTGGCTATGATCTGGTCAATCTTTCCATTCAATTTGGAGTACATTTGCAGAAGATTCTTTTTTCCTCCTTCCACATTTCCATCTTATGCATTTACATATGGAAGTAATTCGTTTTGATTTTTGAGATTCAATGGCTGATCAAAGAAAGTTCTGGATAAACTTTCGGTTATGTATGCAAAGAAAGGGGAAAATAATGATTTGATCACATAATTCAACATGGTTTTCTCTAACATCGCAAACTTTTAGATGAATTGATCACATAGTTTGCAAATTTTTAGATAAATTGATCACATAGTTCAACATGGTATCAGAGTAGACAAATATCCTAGTTTCAAGTCTCATCACTACCCATTATCAAAAAAAAAGTTTCCACATGTTTGGCCAATAAAAAACAGTCCGGCCTACATGACAGGGGACATGTTAATGACAACTTTAAGTAAATAAAAGTATATTTTCCTTGACAACTTAAGCTTTTAGATGAGCTGGTGACACAGTTCATCAAAGAGAGTGAAATATGACCTATTCTCTCAAAAGTTTTCTGTGATAATGCACTTTGAGAGGCATATCAGAATTGAATTAATTACATCAAGTGTCAAGTTAATAAATGAGCCATTTTCCATCATCTAATCTTAAATGTGCCATCACGAATGTGTTAAATAATTCATATATATATACTAATGCATGAAACATCAAAGAGAAAAGGAAATCTGTAAGAAACCTTTCTATGACCTTCGCCAGCTACTTGTGCCAAGAGCTTGCCATTTGGCCCGACAAGAACAAATGTTGGCCATGAATTGACACCTAATTCCCGCCATAAATTCATTTCTCCATCATTGACAACCTGATCATTCAATGAAGGTTAAGAAACTACTTAACATACAAAAAAGAAGGGAAGAAGGAGAGACACCCCCAATTAAAAACTAAAGCAGATATTTTGAAATGATAACAATGTCAAATTCCAAGTTACTCTATTCACCAGTATCTGCAATCTGAATAATAAACTTCAGCAATAAACAAGAGCTTCAATTGGAAACGTTGATTACATACATTGTCAGGCAATCCTTGACCATTAACAGTGAATTAGCAAGTATTCCCTTCTGTTAAATACATGGAGTCCCAGAGGCTTTGATGGTACAAATTTGAATTGGATCAGAAGGGTGGGGGAGAGGCTGTCAAGACAGTGTTAACGATTGGAATGTCAATTTTAACATAGCCAAGTATGGTGCAGATAGCAGCGGACATTCTACCTTAATCTACCGAAAAGAAGTAATATATAACCTAATCTGGATGCTCTAAATTCTCTCCACATTTATGTTGTTTCCAAATGTTCATCCGTTTCTTGGGGATCTAATAGATTCAAGAGCAAGCAGATAGATTGTGGTAAAGAGACATTCAACACTAAAATCAGTAATAGTTCAGCTCTTGAATAAGTACTTACTGGATGAGTGATTCCATAGCGTAATACAGCACTACGGATGGCTTCAAGGTCCTTCTCGTTGTCAAATTTAGCTGAATGCACCCCCACAACCACAAACTGCAAAACTAATGTTTGATGAATTAGCTACAACTATGGTTAGAAGTGTGTAAGCAAACCTTCAGATGCAACTGTGGATAAAAGTACTTAATTCATTTTGAGGTTCCAAGTTCAAATCCCAAGCTGTTTTATTTTCAAACCCCCATGGTGAAAATCCTGGATCAGCCACGGTATGAAACAACTATTTGAGGTGACTATATTGGTTTGACCTGTCAGTATTAACTCAGAAAGTTCACAGATTAGCCCAACTGAAAGCTAAATCTTATGACATTTCTTTCTCCTTTTGACAGCATTCGTGCAATCTGCAAAACTCATTTCATGCCTATTCTTCTGTGAAGATGTTATAGATAATAAATAGTGGGTACAGCGGAATATTATAGAATAAACTAATAGATTGTTGTCTGGATTTCAGAGTAATCTAAAGCCAAAGTAAAACAACAACAAATTAATTATAGAATTTACCAAACAGAAGAATATACAGATGTGATATCAACAAAGACAAACCCCATGGGATTGCAATCTAGACAGCATTTGGTTAGTATAATAAAAGTTCTGCTTGATCATAACATTCCTACATTTTAGCAACATTTCTTACTAAATGAATTTTACTAATTGAATTTTGAGCGAAGTTTAAACCAGCTAAACACATCCTAACCTAACTTGGCCGTGACTTTTTAATTCCACTTCCCCTATCTAATGAGAACCTCATATTGTATGTAGTTCCAACAGAACTATAGTATGCATGTGCTTGCTTCTGCCAGAATTAGTAGAATATTGATTAGCGTAATTATGAGAATTTTCAGGAAAGAATTTTAGAAAAATGATTGGGGTAACATCTCAGATGATCAACTTGTTATAGAGACAGAATATCATTTCATGAGATAACCAATAAAGCTGAAATGGCAACCCTAAGCTATGAATGACAATCTTACAGGCTTATCTTTATATTTATTCTCCAGAAACTCCAGATCTGGCAGTACATGCATACAGTTAATGCAGCAATAAGTCCAGAAGTCCAAAAGAACGACTTTTCCTTTCAAATCCTGCACAAACATAGAAATGTTTCAGGGAACGAGTGCATAGCATGGATATATCATCCAGAACTACTCCTTTTTCCATTTTCTAGTATGTGCAACTTACAAACATACCTCCAAGAAACAATAAGATTAAAAGCACTATTCAGCATATTAGAAAATTTTCAAATTCATAGATGATAAAAGTATCCATGGTTGTCTCCCATCTGCTTAAAGCCTTGATGGGCAGAATTACCCAGTATTTGTGTGGTGGGAGATAGCGGGTACCCGATGGAATAGTCAAGGTGCGCCACACGCTATAGCCCAACCACCACTATTTAAAAAAGAAAAGGTACCGATCACTAAAAGTTTTTTTGCAGCCAATGTCATTGTCAAAAGATTCTTAACATTGTTCAAAAGGATAGTGTGTAGAAATCCATTACAATAGAATGGTGTATTATGAAACAACATAATATTATATTTGGGAGAAATTCCTCTCCAAGTTTGAAGTATTTTACACACACGTAGTCGATAGGAAACATCAATTAGAAAGCAGTAGACAACCGAAAATTCCCAGAATAAAATTTGCATGAAGACTAGAGAACGGAAAAAAGAACACCAATATGCACATATATGAAAATAAGCGAAAAGAAAAAGAAATAAAGTTGCCAAAAGAGCAGAATTGAAATATGAAATTATGTATTTACCCTGCCTAGCTGAAGGGGGCTTGTATTCAGCCAATCAAGTTTAGATGGGAACTCGGGCACGATAGTCGTAGATTTCCTAACAAAATGCAGAATATTAAACATGATCAAAAAACAAGTTAGGAATCCAAGAACAATTAAAGAGAAGTATATCAAAAGATGCCAGAAAGCATGCAACATATATACGATACTAACTTATAAATTTAGGAAAACTGCAACCTTCTTAATTTATAAAGCAAAAAAAGGTTTCAGTTTACATGAAAAACTTCTGTTACCTGGCATCCACATCAGATATATAGTTTACAAATTGTTGAATCCTCTGTGAACTGGACGCATCTGCAGGGGCAATAGACAAAAAAAAAATAGATCTCCTTCAATTATCTCAAATATCACCGAAAAAGAAAAGAAGAAAAAGTAGCCCATACTTGATATACAGAATTTATAAAAATCACATTAGAAATGTGCCCAAAAGAAAAAAGAGAAAAAATAATGTCATCAAGGGAAGTTCCATACAACAAGAAGAATGGAACAACAATGAAAATGAAGAGAAGAGAACAAATACTTCATTGTAAGAGGGGGTAGACCTTCTTTCTGTTCAAAAGGAGGATTGCCTGTGCCGAACAACAAGTTCCAGATAGCTTTTGGAGATGCATACTGCATTGCCTGCATAAGAACAGCAGAGCTTGCGAACATGAAAACCAAAATAAATTAAAAAAATACCTTATGCTTTCTTTATTAAATTATATACCTTCCAGTTTGTAATAGTAAAGAGGAGACAGGATGCAGCAATTCCTAAACTTCCATATCTAACAACATTTCGTCTGGTAACCTGCACCCTGTCCATAAATTATTTCTGCAACCTCATGACAACATTATACCAATTACCAAATGCCCTAAAATGGCCATCTCATAAAGGCATATGGACCCTTTTGGGGGATAAAGGTATTCCACTTTGCAAACGAGAGAATTTCATTTGCACGAGTATTATTCATGTCAGTCTAAGCATATTTGACTTTTTGTTCCTACATGCAGCAAAAAAAAGCATGTAACTTAGTGATTATACATCATGCCATAAAATAGATTGATAAGGATGTAAATCACCAGTATGGACTGTTCTTAGCAATTCAACTTAATCCAGTTAAAGTTTAAGAAAATAATTTCAGATAGACAAAGAGGAAAAGAGAAAAAGAAGGAAAAAAAGATGAATCTATGAATGCATACAGCAATTTGAGGTATTAGATATCAAAAGCGGTCTTGATGATGCAGATGATCATATATTGAATCGCTCTTACCCTCCCATCGAGGATATGGCACCACTTGTTACATAATTATCCAGCTCTGTGATACTCCCTGTCATATTGGGCTCAGGAAAAGAGAGAGCTAGATCGTTAATGGATTGAGATTCCTGCACCATCACATCTGCATTGTTTTTCATCATTAGATTCATTTTATAGTAAGCATAGAAAGGAAGCCACTATTAACTACATATGATATGTTAGAGGAACACTAGAACTAGAAAATTTCCATTAACTGAGTTAGCAGCTAAAGCATACAGCTTAAGGGAACAGAGAACAGGACATCCTTCAACAAATTACAGTCATTACAAAAAAGAGCTTACTCGCAAGTTTTTCCATAAAAAAAAAAAAAAAAGAGCTTCAGTATTCTACATTTGTAAATGGTACATGAAAGGGAAGTTCTTAACATGTCGGTGAACTACATACTATGGCTACCAGAGCCACCATTGAGGATATCTTCAAGTGAAATATCACTTATCTCCTTTCTGATGAGTGATGGCTCCGCCGCATTTAGAGTATCTTCTGATAGTGTTGTCGTCACTGCTATACATCTGCAAGTAAGTCAACATACTTAAGAATGTAGAAATAACGGAATCAAAATGATCACTAAAAACAGAGGCAAAGAGGTACATTAGAATGATGCTGATACAGATTACTGATTAAGTTGACACACGCAACAAGTGAAGAAAAGTTCAAGTAGGGTTGGTGATACCAACAACTTTGAACAAGTGTATATAAATCACCTATATAAAGAAAAGGCACTCAGACGCAAATACCTCATTTTTGCAGCTTTGGCAGCTTGTACTCCAGCTAGTGCATCTTCAATCACAATACACTGTCAACATAGAGGATTATGATAATGCCTACCAAGGTCGACAAACAGGACACTGATCTACTTAACACTTCAAAACTTCATCATCCTCGAACATGAACCTTCAGCAATTCATAATGCACCCCCCATTTTTATACCCATATTTAGAAAATCTGTTCTGACTGATAGAATGGCAATTGCGCATCTATTTCCCATCCAGAAATATAATTTTCAACATAAAAGTTGCCAACATATTTATCAAGTTTTTAGTATCTTCTTTGCTTAAATTTTGTTTTCCAGCTAACTTCATCTGATTATTACAGTCATTAATGAATTATAGGGAACTTTTAGGTAAACAGAACGTGAATGTAAACCTCAGTAATATCTTAGTTGGCTATAAGTTTCTCATCATATAAGCACCATATACTACCCACAACTAAGTGTCTAAAAAGAAAAAATTGTGATGGGTGTGCAAAGCAGCATTGCACATCCTGGAAACTACCTCACTAGTGGGAACATCAAGAATCCGTGATGCAGCCAAGAAAATATCAGGAGCAGGCTTCAAATTTTTAAAAGCATCAGCTGATACAATTGCATCAAACCTGTCAAATCAAAGAAAAAGAATATGAAGTCAAATACACATAGAAGGATAACTAAAGACAAAGGCGAGGGAGGATGGGAGCTTCCAATTATTTCACTGCACACCTGCGTTTTTCATCCGAGTTGTACACTTTAACCTCAATAAACTACTATGTCCTTGCAAACTACATTATCAACCAATGCATAGTTTGTGTGTTTGCATAAATACCATAAAGAAATGGACCTTGTAACTCAACCACAAAAAGTTAGCTTGTAAGGGGAGGATTCCTAGAACCATATAAGGAGACCCCCCCCCCAAGGACATGCGGAGAACGTAACACGGGGATAAATATTGAAAAAGAGCAACATAACAACAGGAATCAATGAGGTTTAGCTTTGATACCGTGTAAAGGAATGCACACTGGGGCTAACTCAACAATAAAAGTTAGCTCACAATGGAAGGACTGTCCTAACTCAACAACAAAAGTAGCTCATAAGGGGAGGATTGCCCAGGACCATATAAGATCACACCCTTTGGAGTCTGAATGCCTGATTCCATGACTAACAGATTTTGTTAGTTCTTTAAAATACAACATATCTATACTGATTCTTTAAGTAAATAAAGTTCTTGCTATGTCTGATTCAGTACAATCCAGTGGTTTTTTAAAAAACTTGGTCTGAGTTAGTACAATCCAGTGTTTCTTGAATGCCAATTATAATAGGAAAGAGAAGCAACTATTTACAGCTAAAGCGCATTTGTTAACTCACATCGTTATTGGTAAACCGGCTGCAGCCAAGTTTGCATCAACTTTAATCCGGTCAGCACTAGATGCAACAGCAACTTTGAGACCACTGCTTTTACACTGGCGTACCATATCACCAAATTAATAAGAAACATAAACAGAAAGAGCAAGACCACATATAGTCATCACATCACAGGTTATACATACCTGAGAGACAAGTTCAAAGGCACCAGGGAAACCAATGCCAGAATTCGGTTTTGCATACTACAAATGATTGTCAGTTTATCAATAAAATTATCAGTTCTGGGAGTCAGTTACCACGACTTAAAGGGAAGTGTTTTACAACAACAACATGCCCAGTGAAATCTGCTTTGAGAGTAGATATTCGTATGTATATAAAATTTCAATCACCTTTGATAAATATATCTCAAAGAACCTCTTCTTTGCAGCCTCGGTATCAAATCCTTCAACACCCTTAGCAGCAGCAACACCACCTAAGAAGTTTGCTTCACCTAATATATTTCGAGGGTAAAGGAATATGAAAAGGAGAAGAAGTCATTGAGAAAATATGACAAAGGAAAAAGGTGCTACACAATCAAAGACTCATTTCCTAAAGGATAGTAACATCAAACTAATTTTTTTTATCACTTGGGGTAGAAAAGAAGAGTAACTCGAGATCAGAAAATTTAATCGATGTATGGATCCAATGGCAATTAACTTGATAATCATTCAAAAGAACAAGTTTCATAGACAATATGGACAATTTTGTGAGCACAAGTGTTTTTCATGGAGAAGGGTCCTATTTTAACATAGTGAGTGAAAGAATTCACCTAAGGCCTCGGCTAGCTATATGCATGAAAGTAAGCAAATGACAAGATCTACAACCAAAATCAAAACTTATTATCTAATTGGAGAGAGATGATGCTTCACAAAAATCAAATACTCAATGAGGTAGATGAAGATTACTAGTTTCTTACATAACAAAGTTCCCATGGAGGGGACTGAACAGAGATTCTTGATATTCTTTTTTTTTTCTTTGTTTCCATATTACATTAGCTGTCTTAATCATTACTCCATCAAATTCATCAGCATGCCTTTAAACAGAATGACCAATGGCTGAGATAAAACCTTAAAAGATATAATGAGGCAATATGAGAATAACATTGAACCGTAAAAAACAGTCCATTGGACTGATGATTTACCCTTTATCCACGACTTCTCAAGGCATGATTATCCAAAGAAGCTAGCGAAGTCAACAAAAATACCCAAAATTCTCAATGGTTTCCAAACTTATAAATCAAGAAACTACTTTTCAATGAAGAACTAGTAGCTATTGGTTGAATAGTTCAAGAACCAGTACACTGAAATAATACACCGCAGGAAGCAGTGATAATTGCACACCCATCTTTCACATCAAACAATTAAAAGAAAATCAAGAAGGGAAAATCTAAATACGTATAAACAGGTTGACAAAGAAACCTTTCTCCCGAAAGTTCAAAGTACTAGAATAATCAAGAAACTACCAATAAAGAGAGTATTCAAGAACTCAAAATTCAAAGACAAAATAAAAAAGAATGTAATAATCAAGAAGAACATTCAACCGTAAAAAAATTACCCATTGGACTGATGCTTTACACTTTATTCTCCGCTTCTTAAAGAAGCTAGTGAATTCAACAGAAACACCCAAAATTGTCGTTCCCAAACATATAAATCAAAAAACTACTTTTCAATCAAGAATCAGTAGCCTTAAATAGTACACCGCGAACCGATGATAATTTCATACCCATCTTTCACATGAAAGAAAATCAAGAAGGGAAAATACAAAGCAAATTGACAAAGAAACCTTCCCAAGAACATAAATAAAAAGAATGTAATAATCAAGAAAGAACAAAGATTTTACCCATGCCCATGAAAGGCACAAAGTCTTCAACGGTTACTTGAACACCCATCTCAGCAAAAACATCAACAGCCGCTTTTCTTGACGATTCCTCACTATTGCAGAGCACACCATCCATATCAAACAACACTGCCGACACTTTCCCCCATTGGCTACCCGACTCCGGTACATTCTTCTCTTCCAATTTTTGGGAAGCACTCACCTTTAAACCCATCTTTCTTGATTCAAAATCCAACATTCTGAAGTTTTTTGAAAGAAATTGAATGGATAATTCGGATCTTGAATTGAAAAGTGCAGCTAGTTTGGGTTTTCCATAAGTGGGCAGTAGAAAAGGTGTAAGCCTTAACGCCATTTTTTCCTCTCTCTTTTCTTTTGGCCCGAAAACCTTTATATAATTGTTATTGAGTGGCGGGGAAGGGGATGCCGTTGTGTTCCGTGTGATTGTACTATTTTACCCTTTTGTCTGCTTTGAAAGTAAGCGGATAATTAGAATTTATTTATCTTTTTTTTATGTGACGGAAAATCTTGGGGTTTTATTTTTAAAAAATAAATAATTCTCTATTTGTAAAATACCCTTTGAAGACATTTTTTGGTTTATACGTAAATACCTTCTGCTTCATATATGTATCGATTATAAATTTTTGACAAATAAAAAGAAATTAGGTAAAATTTAGTGATTCTCAAATTAGTTCATCATTATTAAGTTACATTCTTAAATATTAATTACTAGATCACACTCTTAAATATTTAAAGCAAATATATAATATTTCAAAGTTTTTCATGAATATACTTTGAAAAAATTTATCTTATCAATTTTTTTTCTAAACAAAAAATATAAAAAATTGATCGAGTATGTCTGTCTATGGATATTTTGGAAAATAATAAATATAAGTGAGCATATTAATCAGTATTAGTAGTATTATATTTTACACTTCTGTTTAGAATTTCCAATTATAAAAATAAATTTAAACGGGCAATATTAGAGTGACCGATATGTTTTAGAAAGTCACGGTAATGTTTTTGGAATATTCACGTCTTTTTTCTTTTTTTTTTGTTTGTCGGAAGACATTTTATAGCAGACAATCTTATGTTTTACGAGATAAAAATAAAATAACAAAACAATATGATAATTAAAACACAATAAATAACAGATGGTGATATATACGAAGAAGGACAACAAGAAGCCTATGCCTCAAAAAGCAAATCAACTAACCTACAAAGAGAAACTATATACATCTCCAAAACATCAATTCAAGAGAAACTTAGATCCAAACAAAGATAGATACATGTCTTTTAAGGTTCATTGATGACTTCTAAATAGCATCTTCTACTCCGTAATTTTTTTTAATGAAACAGGTAAAAGAACTTCTAATTTGCTGCAAAGATTAATCTTGATGCCATGTGTCTCACTTTTCATCTGTTCCCCTCATTCATCTCCTATCCTGTTTTCTTTTTGGCTTAAACATTTCTTCATCCGAGGGAATTCATACACCAAAATAGGATAAATCATATCCAATCAAAGAGACGATCAAGAAATCTACCAATTCATTTTCACGGAGTTGGACCACAAAAATAGCAATTGCATCATGTTTAGTCTCTACAACTGTACCAACTTAGGTCCATCCCCAAAACATCAATTCAAGAGAGACTTAGATCCAAACAAAGATAGATACATGTCTTTTAAGGTTCATTGAAAACTGACATTCCAATGAGAAATTCCGAAGCTTAAAGAACTGCAAGTTTTTGTGATAATCAAGAATAACAAACCTGTTGAAACTAGGTGACTATCATTCTTGCACTTCCTTTTTTTCTACTCGACTGTCCCTATCATTAGAGTGCAAGTTACCACGTGAGATGTCCCCTTAATCATCTCATAAACAGCAACTAGTCATCAGATATGAAAACTAAAGGCATGGAGTAGTTAGATATCAGAAACACGCAGAATCTTAAGTGACTATTTTAGATAAGGTCAAATCGAAAGTGACTATTGACTACAGCATATTTGCTCCATTTCTGTACTCTTTGTGGACTTACTCTGCCGTGCAGCTAGGCTGTTATTTAACTTCTAATGGTACCCCAAGACAAGGAAAGAAGAAAAAAGGCAACACAAGCAGTAAAAAGGATTGAAAAAACAATTCACCTCAATCTTATATTGACATCACAAGAGAAGTACAGACCAGGAGTTCTCTTTATGACATTAAGCAGTGCCGCAAACTAAGCTTCCATGTTTTCTGCCAAAAGCCAAAGCAATATCATAGGAACAGAAATAGAAGACACCAGCATGAGATTAAAAATAAATAGGGTAGGAAATTAACTAGGAAATCGAAAACCGACCTTTTCAGCAGTAGAGTTCTTGAGAGACTGATAGCAAGGATAAAATTTCATCGATGAAACTTTCAAGATAGGGTGCCAAAGTAAGATCCAACACATTCACGGATCGTTATGACCAGTACATATGAACCTGAATGCAAGATCAGAGCAACCTTAATTGATACCTAAAAAATGCATAATTCATATTTCTCTTCGAACTTCTTTCTACCATGCTATGTCTTCTCAATCTTCTTTTGAGATAAGGATATGTTTTCCAATGTCATGATAAAATTTGTTCTAAATTTCATAGTCCTGGTTTTGCTCAACACCTAAAATGCAAGATACCTGTCAAATGCATAATTGGGCAAGACCAAGACATTGGTATATACTTTGTATATGTGTATGATAATTTTACGGAAAAAAAAATCTTCAAGAAAATGAGCAACAAAGGGTACATTCTTGACATATATAACAGACATTTTTTTCGATAATGTAAAGATTTATTGATGTATGTCAGAGAGCTGCCCTGCTATTGAATATAAAAAACAAAATCCTGATATTGTAGCTCTTCCTAAGTTCTTACCAGCCAAAAGCTTTAGCATGTCTATAACACCAAATATTTTCTGAATTTTGGGAACACGAATTGAACTGCATTTTAGAACCTCATCTAACATAGCGAACAAGTACATATCATTAGCTTAATAAATAATTTATGTCCGGAAGAAATTTATAAAGAGTAAAAGAAGCAACCTATTAGTCTCACAGACACATCCAAGCAAACTGATCTCCAAGCACAAACCACAGGATCCATAAGTAGGCCCAACAACATACTGATCTGGAAATTCCCAAAGCCACATCCTTGTATATAATTTCTGTGAAGGTCGCCCTTCTCCATCAGCATTAAAATGATACAGAGAAACACAAAGTTGATTACCAAATCATTGCCTTTGCGAATCAATTTAAGTGGGATATGAAAAATATAGACATACCAACACAAGAATTTACTTGCAACACATGTATGCATTATGCAGCTAGGTTGATACGAGTAATATATATGGATGTGTCACATCAGTACACTCTGTGACATCCTTAGCAATTAGTAGTGCAATCAGAACAACTTGTGATGTAATTAACAGAACAAAATAATGCAGAAATTATGTGTGTTAGTTCAAAGTCCTTTCTTTCCTCGGAGAACATTAAAGTACTCCCCCTTTTCAGTTTATTTGTTTGAATTTTCCTTTTATTCCGTTCTAAAAAAAATGTTTTTTTCCTTTTCTTGACTTAAAGAACACAAGATTCAAAATTCTTTATTTATTTTCTTGAACTCAATGTCAAATCAAAATCAAATAAATAAATTGAAACTGAGAGAGTATCTCCTAGTAGTCAACAAGAACCTAATCCAATAAAATGGCAGCATATTGCGAATGATAATACTAGGTTCAGTTAATACTTTGCAGATGGCTCACATATATGAAGCTTAGTACTATTTTAAAAATGCTTTCCAAAATTACAACTGGCAATTTAGTGTGAAACCAAGTTGCAAGTGACAGCATATAATGCACGCTACCAACTTCATATGACATACAAACCTGAGTAACAACTAATTACTGGTAAGAAAGCATCATTACCTGTTTAGTACTATCAACAAAATTGTTCAACTAGTATCGTGTTAGGGCATTACATCCATCAGTGAGAACCACCCAGGCCTGTTCTGTGATCAAATCTGCATATCAAACAGCAATGTAGATTTTATAGTGGCATTGATCGACGAAAGAAAAAGCTTGAGGTCATAATAGCAATTTGTTGACTATAACTTTTTTAGTTTATGTTATCTCCATCATGATCTCGAGATAAAGACATTTTAAGTGCCTGTTTGGCTGATGGAATGCTGACCTGAGACCAGAATGAGATCCAAGTGTTGCGTATTTCAAAAGTGATACGAGGATCAGAGAAGGCCTCCACCCACCGACGAATAAAGTGTCCTTGCCAGTGAATGAAAAAAAAAACAGAATGGAGGAGATGAGATTTAGGACTAATGAATTGTGGAGTACCCTTCTCCTGCTTGCTCAAAATTGTTCTATTTCTGAATGATACACTGTAAGAAATTTCAGCAGCACAAAAGTTAAAAAAAGTCTTGTTTTGGATTAACGGTCCACGTCAATATGCATTTCCTGGATATCTAGTTACACTGCTTAAGAAGTTACAGTCTTAATTCAGCCTCAAGCTTTATTACATAATAGGTAAAAAGGAACAAACCTTCTTTCGTTTACCACAGCAGACTGTTGAAGGAATAGGATACATCTCAGCATGGCAAACTTGATCATACCTTGAACGGAAGTAGCTGATCTTTAAATAACCATGCATTAACTATTATAAAGTCTCACCATAATTAAAAACATAAATAAACCAAGACATTTAATAAACTGAAGTCACAACACTACAGTCTACATATCAAACGAACTACTTCAATGTGCATGAACACTTCCAAGCTAAGCAAAAAGCGCATTTGCTGCACTAACGCATCAGTATTATGCAGTATTAGCATAGAATTTAAGTTATATATACTGACATGTAAAGAACTTTTACAATATCAGTGCAGAATAACTGGCTATTCCCATATCTTTCTAAGTTATTATATCACCTTCGCTAGAAAAGTAATTTTATCTTATACATGGTAAAAATAAAGGAAACTTAATTAACGGTGTAAGAAATCTTAAGATTAAGATCAGATATCCATGGATGGATATGTTCTGTAATGGAAGAAGAGAAAATGTACCTCCTCATCCCTGTGCATAAAATTGATAGAGCCATCATAGTGATTGCTGTGATGAGCACACTTTGGAGCATTAGCAGGAAGTTGCAATAGTTTAGTCCAAGTCGATACCTTAGGGTATCAGAATAGATGAAAATACGAGTTTGAAGCATCTTCTCATCTGAGTAATAAACCCCTGGAACCACAATAGAAGGGCAGAAAGCAAGCTGCTCATTCTCATTAAAGAAGTTATCAGTGTTCTTATTCAGAACTAGTCTTCCCACGGGCTGCAAAGGCAAGATATCATCTGGCCAAGTTTTTGTCACATCAAGTGGATCAAAGTCAAATCTGTCTTCATGATCCGGATCCATAGTCTGAATGAAGATCTTCCATTCAGGATAATTTCCAGCTGCA